GAGAATGAACAAATCACAGATTCTTGATTTTATTGCATTTTACAAAATGTCCCAACTTCTCTGGAATTGGGGCTGTAAAACCTATACATGCTTGGTATATATATATATATATGTATATATGCAGTGTTGGGGGTATTTTATTTTAAAAACAAACAAGCAAGCCCAGTCCAGATTTTAAAAGTAACGCAAAAGTAACGTAACGCATTACTTTCCATATAAAATAACTAAGTAACGTAATTAGTTACTTTTTTTATGGAGTAACGCAATATTGTAATGCATTACTTTTAAAAGTAACTTTCCCCAACACTGTATATATGTATATACATACATACATTATAAACCAAGCATGTATAGGTTTTATTAACACTTGCAAATATATTACACAGTTCAACAACTAATAAAATGATAATAATCGTATTTATATTATGACACAGAGGGTGTATCTGCTGTAAATTCCCACGAACTGGCACTCAGTAATCGAAGCGCTCGTCTATCGACTGCCTTGCTCATTGAAGGGCCCCATCGTGTGGCAGACCAAACTAATCGATCCACGCTTGACTTGTTCGCTCTCGGATTTCCTGGTCAGATGAGAGCACGGAAAACACGCCAACAAAACACCACTCTCACTTTCTATCACATCAGAAGTCTGCTGTTAATATAACTTAATCGGCCAGTGATCGCACCGAGTAAAGGACTACATTTCAGGTTATCTGTGTGTTCTTCTTGTATCCGTGTTAAAGATGTCTGCATCCGCTGGCGGTGTTGTATCCCCGGGCTCGGCCCTCTCTCCCAGTCCCGGCTCCGGTATGTCCATGTTCCGATGGCTGGAGGTGCTGGAGAAGGAGTTTGACAAGGCGTTTGTGGATGTGGATCTGTTGCTGGGAGAGATCGACCCGGACCAGGCTGATATCACATATGAGGGCCGTCAGAAGATGACCAGCCTCAGCTCATGTTTTGCTCAGCTGTGTCATAAATCCCAAACCATCTTTCAGCTCAACCACAAACTAGAGGTGAGGAAAATAGATGGATATTCTTCTACAAAGTCTCTAGACAAAGTTGTTGTTCTTTTGTTTACTGACATTGAACTTACTTTGTGCGTTGTCTTGTGAACGTTTCTATCTGAATGTTTGGGACTGAATAACTAGTATTTATTGTCTGAATAGATAATATGGCTGTTAGTCTTTAATAACTGATTTTTATTTTGTTTTACAAAAATAGAATATGGATAGGTTATGAATGTTGTTATGAATATTCAGCTAAAAGTTGTATTGCAATCTACACTAACAAAAAAATACTATGTAAACGTATATAGCATTGGCGCATAAATTAAGCATTTATTCCCATATATTTGGTACTTTTTCAAATGCTCGGGGTTCCCATGGTCTTAGAAAACTTGGAAATGTCAGGAAGTTTTTGAAGTGTAGTTTCCAATCCTGTTAAAGTCATGGATTTTTTTTAATTATTATTATTTTTTTTTTGTGAATTGCAATACTGCAACACGTCATTGGCTATAAATTGTTCTTTTTGAGTGCGAAATCAATGAAAAAAAACAACCAAAACCTTTATTCTGTAATCAAGAATTCCTAGAAAAATCCTTTTCAATAAGGGATGGGAACCCTGAAATTAAAACTGCTCTATAATGTTGAAATAGTATAGATGGCAACAATGCATCATTTGCATTCTGAATTATTAATTTGAATCCTGCTGTTCTGTTTCAATAATGTTATTGGTGCTTAAACATGAGCTTTTCATTCCACGTAGCACAACTTAAAAGATTACTCTAAATTAGAGACGTAATTAGAGTGCGGTGCTTTTGGTCAATAAGTAAGGCCTACAGTAAAGTTAATCTGGTTATTATCGCACAATAAACCCAACATGGTGATCAGAACCCCTACGCAAAGTCATGATGGACATGAGTCTTGGTCATATTCAGAGCAAAAGTTTCACATTTGAATAGGTCACATTTGGAAAATGAGCTTCTTTGTATTGCCAAAATAAACTGTATTGGCTGAAAATTGTTATCAGATTAACTCATGTCACTGAATGGCCTATTTTCACTTCAAACTACTTGTCACTTCATGTAGGCTGTCTGATAAATAATGCATATGTGCATTTGTCATTTTGTTCTTTCATTTTTCTCGGGACACACAAACAGCTGCATAAACAAACATAAAAAGTTCTCAGTTTGGAAGCAGATTTCTTCATCCACTGGAAATGCTTTGCATATGGTGCAAACCGAGTAGTCACAAAACTATATAAAAACCTGTTAGACCTGCTTAGCCAGCCAATGCCAGACACTGGTCATTCTTCTGTTTAAACGGACTGCAGTGCATCACATACATGATCCCTTAACTTTAACAGTATTAAGTATTGTTGCTGTTGAGCTCCGCTGTCTTTTCTGTCACACAGTCTGGATAATTGGCATCTTGTCTGTGTATTGGCAGATTCAGGTTTTTCAGGAGACCAGCTCGGGTACTCTGCTTTTCCCACCACTTTTCAAATCTGTTAATGGCTCTTTATCAAAGCTCACAGTCCAATTTGAAAAGCAGTATTATCTTCCACATGGGTTATTAATCAAAATAACAGGTTCTTAAGTACACTGACTCACTGGTATAGCTGGCAATTGTGTGGGAGGCTGGATTTCTTTCTGAAAAGGTAGTTTAGCAGGTGAGGAGGTCGCGCATACACCCACCTCTTCACTGGCGCTGCTGAGCAGAGCAGATTAACACACAGCTTGATAAAAACTCCCTGCTGCACAAGATGAGGGTTGGATGTGACAGTGAAGATTACAGCTTCCTGTCCTTAAAAAGGTACTGTGGCGGTACTATTGCACAATGAAGGTATACTATTTCGATGGCACTTCAAATAATGCCATGGTATTAACATGATACTTGTCCAAAACCCTTAGCATTGGGGTCCAAAAAAAAAACATTGTAGTACCATAGTACGTCTTTGTTAGTAAATACACCAACATTATGACTTACAGTCAGCATTAAACTGATCATTTCATTTCATTTGCGTAATGTGATGCATTGCAAAGAAACTTCATATTTAATGGGGATGGTTGATTAGTCATCCAATTTATTACATTATTTCTTATATTTTTGTAGTTTCAAATTATGTTTTAAGTGGAGGTGCTTTAATTAGCTTGCAACATGGTAACACCATAGTACATCTTCGTTAGTAAATATACCATTACTACTTATAGTCAGCATGAAGCTGCATTGTCAAACCATTCATTTTGCATAATGTAATGCATTGCCGAAAGAAACAGGATTTGTCATGAAGAAAGAAAAATAGGGTTCATTTTGATTTCATGCTGACTTAAAAATCTACTCCTGTGATGAGGTGCTTTAATTAGCTTGCAACATGGTAACACCATAGTACATCTTCGTTAGTAAATATACCATTACTACTTATAGTCAGCATGAAGCTGCATTGTCAAACCATTCATTTTGCGTAATGTAATGCATTGCCGAAAGAAACAGGATTTGTCATGAAGAAAGTAAATAGGGTTCAATTTGATTTCATGCTGACTTAAAAATCTACTCCTGTGATGTCATTTTCCGAAGGATCCACCCAAATATTTGTACCAAACACCCTCTCTGAGGGCTGCCACTGTATGAAAAGTCTTGGCCTGAAACAATAAGGCATTTTTCTCTAGTTTTAGGGTGCATCGCACACACTGAACTCCTTTGAGGTATTTTGGTGCCATCGCTTTGTGTCAGATTCAGTTACATTGTTAATTTAAGGGAAGATATTTGGTTTTGCTAGTAGAAGTGTTGTTAAAGAGTATATAGCATTTTAAAGTAGACTGTCACTTTTTATTGGGAGGGGCTGCAGTGGGAATCTTAAGTATTCAGTGTGGCTGATGGTGTTGGGTTCAGATTCACCACTCTCGCTGTACTTGTTTCAGAACGACTCCTGACAGATAAATGAACCTTCTCTGCTGTGTTACTGCTGAATATGAGAGTCCCTCAGCTAACCTTGGCTATCCAGCTGAGATTAGGCACATAAATAAATGAGTAGTTTTTCTACGAGAGGACTTTTATATCGGTCCTTGACGCAGCTTGCCTTCCTAAGAGGCTGAGATGCTGGAGGATTGAGCTGCTTTCTAATTCTGCGGGGCCTTCTGATGGGGGACGGGATGTCATTATTCACCACGGCTGTGGTTGTTAATGAGTGTGTCAGATGAGAGTATGCTCTTCTGAAGGGAAGCGGAAACATTAGGAAGAGGAAGAGGAAATTTAAAACGATAGTTCACCCAAAAATCTAAATTCTCATTAATTACTCACCCTCATGTCGTTCCAAACCCGCAAGACCTACGTTCATTTTTGGAACACAAATTAAGATATTTTTGATGAAATCTGAGAGCTTTCTGACCCTGCATAGACAGTAATGCAACTGAAACGTTCAAGGTCCAGAAACATAGTGAGGACATTGTTAAAATAGTCCATGTGACATCAGTTAAACCATAAATTGCTGTTTATGCAGGGTCAGGAAGCTCTCGGATTTCATCAAAAATATCTTAATTTGTGTTCCAAAGATGAGCGAAGGTCTTATGTGTTTGGAAAGACATGAGGGTGAGTAATTAATGACAGAATTTTCATTTCTGGGTGAACTATCGCTTTAAATTTCCTTTAAAAAAAAAAAAGAAGCTTGTTTATGTTTAGGATAAACGTAGGATGAATTCAATGTGACATGGTCTTGTAAAGTTTTTTTGGCATATCTGACTCAAATCCATTGTTATTTGTGGTTTGAACAGGAAAAAACTTTTTACAAATCCAACTTTCATACATGGTTTGAAATCCAATTTTTCTAATGAAATCCAAAAAGATTGGATTTCAAGTAGTTTCTTTTATACTCTCTCTCTGTGTGTGTGTGTGTGTGTGTGTGTGTGTGTGCACACGCGCTTCAGGCTCAGCTGGTGGACCTGCGGTCGGAGCTGACAGATGTCCAGGCAGAGAAGGCTGTGGTGGAGAAGGAGGTTCATGAACAACTTCTTCAACTCCATGCCATGCAGCTCAAACTCCAAGCCAAAGGTGGACAGGCGGTCGACTCTGACTCCATCAAGGACAGGATGGTGGGCACAGCACCAGATTCCTACAAATGTAGCAGAACCAAGGCTAGGTTTAAATCTAGATGAGTTATTGAAAATTGGCTTGTAGGACACCTAGTTTAATATGTTAGCATAAAGGCCATCAACTCATTATGTGGTCAAAAGTATGTGGACACCTGATCACAGAAGATCTCATTCCAAAACTGTGGTAATTAATGTGAAAGTGGAACCGTTATAATGGCCTTCACTCTTTTGGGAAAGCTTTTCATTTGATGTGACACTGATAAAAGTGTCAGGCCTTGAAGTAATGTTAGACTAACTATTTGAGTGGGATTTCGAGCAGGCTGATCAAGTTATTCCAGACCCATCTAAAAAGGATTGCTAGATGAACCAGCAGCCTGCTTTGCATGCAGGACTATTGCCATGGCGTTTGGCAAACAAACCATAGACTATCATTGTGTGCTGTAGGTTTAGTCTTCCATCTCTGGAACTTTGATTCCAAGAGAAAACCATCCCTGTGTGTGAATCCATGTTACACAGTATGCAAATAGCAGATAAGCTGATAACTATTTTCTTGTTACAACCAACAACCATTCTATAAGATTTTGTCTAAATAAATTACAAATAAAACCATAAAAGCTAACCTAACTGAATGAAAAATTATTATTAAAATATTATTGATAATTTAAAAACTATTTAAATTTAGAGTTTTGAGCATATTAATTTAGCTAAAGATTACATTTAACAGTGTTACTAAGTTATTAGTGTTTTTAAATATTCAATTGAGTGTTAGGTAAAGGTAATCGAAATGTAAAAATGGTAAAATGAACATGCACAATTAAATATCCAATATTAAGTATTGGTCAAACATTTGGGGTTGGTAAGATTTCTAAAAACATTTTTGAAAGAAGTCTCTTATGCTCACCAAGTTTGCATTTATTTGCTTAAAAATACAGTAAAAATAGTAATATTGTGTAAATATTATTGCAATTAAAAAAAAACATGATACATTTTTTTTTAGGATTATTTGATGAATAGGAAGTTCAAAAGAATAGATTTTATTTGAAATGGGAATCTTTTGTAACATTGTCTTTAAAGGGTTAGTTCACCCAAAAATGAAAATTAGGCTGCGTATTCGTCTGAAAGAAGTAAGTCATATACACCTAGGATGCCTCGGGGGTGAGTAAAACGCAGCCTAATTTTCTTTTTTGGGTGAACTAACCCTTTAATGTTACTTTTGATTAATTTATTGTGTCCTTGCTAAATAAAAGTATTACTGGAAAAACTACAACAACAACAACAACAACAAAAAACACTATTTAAAAACCTTCCAGCTAAAGCCGATGTTGCTTTCAGAGGCCGTTTATAAGTCAACAGTGAGTGTTGAAGCTGCAGACAATGTTTGTGCACTTAACGCTTCAGAACTCACTCTCCTGTTCTGTGAGCTTCTGTGGGTGACCTGCTATCACTCCTAGACTTTTTCACTTCACTGTAGCATAACTTAGAGTAGCCAAGGGCACAAATCTGACAAACCTACTACAGAGATTACATGTCTGCAGGGATTACATGGCTGTATGCTTCAGTTTATCCAGCCATCATTAACGGTGTGGCTGGAATAGCTCAGTCCACTAATTAGTACATGTGTCTACATACTTTTGACTGTGTAGCGTAGCTGTTTCATTTGATGGTGTCGTAATAGCAGTATCTTTGCATAATCAGCTGTAATGAACACTAACAGGCTCTGGTTGGGTTGGCACTCTGCTCTGTGTCTTCCTGACTTAACCCTAATGATGTAAGGATGAACGTTGATGCTTCTGTAACCGTCCTTTCTGTTTAACCCTGTCTCTCTAACCTTTGACCCTCTGTTTTTCTTCTCAATCTTAAGCCTGTTCCCTCATTGGAGGACAAGGTAAGTTTTGCATTGTTTTGAGTCCGTGTGTGTCCTGTCTAACTCCACTTTTTCCCTCTGTTAATGCTGCTGCTGTCTGTTTTAACCATCCCTAGTAAAGAACTAGGTTCTTTTTGTGTACTAGTAGATTAACTGCTAGAGGTGAGTGATATATTGGTAGCCGATACATTAGTCACTTAAACCTTGGAAAATTGAACCTACTGATGGGGTTATAATGAAAAAGTAAAAGAATCTGTATCGGCCACCATATGCTATTAAGGTGTGGTCATTTACTGGTGTTGGGTGAAATTTTGTGCGCGTTATCCAGTATTTTAAATCCACATTATCATGAATTTTGCTTGAGAACAAAACTGTTCCTTCACAGATTTTGCTCAGATTCATCACATTGACCAAGAGAAAGCTGCTTTGTTTGAAAATGACTCACTAAACTTTTGACAATAGACCTTTTATGTCTGTGAAATTTCACCGAAATATCGCTAACGTGACCGCACCGTTAATCATTGATACAAGCCGATCGATATCAGCCCTGAAGTTCAATATTGGTACATAGCTAATGCTAGATGTGTCTTTTTTCACTCCAGGGGTTGTAACAAATGAAGAGATGCCATTCAAGTGGCTTCATTTCACACTACTGGTAAACTTGTAGTAGAGGTGGGCGATAGGACCAAAATCTTAATATCACGATACGAGTCATTTTATTTTACGATAATGATATATATCATGATGTAGTTATTTTTTATTGAAATAAGGACAAAATTTTTGATACCATAGAAATTTCAGAATTGTTGTCACCAGTGTCAATTAGGGCTGTCAAAAAAAAATTCGAATTTCGAATATTCGTCGCATTTAAAATAAAAATCCACATTTTAGGTGTGCGTCAGGCTGCCTTATCAGTGGCCCACGAAATGTGACGACGACGACGTAAGTGTCATTGCATTTTAATGTTTTTGTTAGCCTGTCCATTTGAACCCACTAGATGCGGCGCTGCTACGTTGTTCATTCAAAATATTGCGGAAAAAGAGAACATCAATGCGGAGAAGATGTTGTTTACGTCAAAACTGAAACCAAGGCGTTCACACAGAACGCATATTTATCACATTTTCTAGAGGGACATCTATCAGCACTCGTGTCTCGCACAAGAGAGCCGCATGTTTAGAAAGGCATTTAAAATTAATGCAAGTTCAACTTTTAAAAAACATGTCTCAAGACTTTATGGCGGTTTTCCCCATCCCACTGCATCTCAAGCTTTTAAATGAAGAAAGTACTCTTTGTGATTGGTTTTCAGGCCTTTGTATTAAACTATACATGCATGATGCTGTTTTGTTTCTAATTGTTTAAGCAACTTTATTCATTATATACGGTTTATAAACATTATTTTAAACATTATGCATTTTTTCAAAGATAGTCGTGTTATTTTATTATGCTTTATTTTGCTGGATGCGCCCTCTTGTGGCCTTGAGAGAAGCCAAAAGCTTTTTTTCCCCCTAACTGAAATTATGCCTTTTAAATTAGAATATAATTCGAATATTGATAATATCTAAGTAAAAAATTTGAATTTAGTTTTTCATCCATTTTGACAGCCCTAGTGTCAATATGACAAAATAAAATAATACTAGCCTGAAAAAACAAACAAACAACAACCTCAAGCTCACTGACGACAAGTAAACATTCAGCGATTAAATAAGAAACTAATTACAAGCAATAGGACAAAAAACTACAGTAGAACAAATAAAGAAATTCTACATATATTGTATAAAGTAATCGAATGTATAAAAACACTGCATATTCTGCACTGTGTAAATTAAATATATATTTCTTCTTATTAAAGTTACAAAAGTGATTTAGTCAAGAGCAGTGAGAGATGTTCTCTCTTTTGTTGTTTGATTAACATAAGCAGAACTATTAGACTGCTGTCACTTTAAGAGCTGCCCGGATCCAATATACTGTTACACGCGTTTTCTTTCTCAGCTTTTTGCTTTCACTTAAGACCTAAATTACTGTGTACGAGGATAATTGCAAAGACGGTCATTTTGACACATACAAGTGTGTGTATTTAACTGTTCAAGGTGACAAAAGCGGCAAAAATAAATCCCGTGCTGCATGATTGCGCAGTCTTCACATGCGCGCGTAATGCATATAGCGAAATGAGTTCTCTTTCGCTGCTGATTGTGTTTCAAAGGCTTAAAATCACTCGTTTCAAAAGTTTCGCAATGCTTAAAAATGTGCGCAAATGATAACGGTTTTCTTGACCATGTGGCACAGCAATGTCATGTGAGCGTGTAACCACGATAGAGACGATAGTTCAAAATCTCTACCTTCTTCTTGACAAATTTAAACCGGTAATCGTGTCTATCGGTATATCGCCCACCCCCAACTTGTAGTAATTATGATGTTAAATCTACATTTCTTCAAAAACATCAAAGTAGGCACACCACAGCTCCAGAGATAGAGAAGTATTTAATTATGTTCTCACCACAGGTGACGTTTCGAGCTTAAACGCTCTTCATCAAATCTACATTTGTTACAATTCTATAGTATGTGCGCACACATTTAGTGGTATGTTTAAGCTAGAGTGGTTGTTTGTCCTGCGATCTCACCTCACTTGTCATATGCACTGTTGTGAAGTTGTAGTTTTTGTGGTGACGTAGGTCTTCTGTTTCTTGTCCTATTGGGCAGCACATTAGAAAGGCTGTTAATGACAGAGATTTGATGTGACTGTTATTAACAGACTTGCATCAGTATGCATACATGGTCAGAGGTTTGGCGCACAACTGCTCACCTCGTGACTTTGTTTGATTACATGTCACAGGAGAAGGAACTGGAGGCCAGTAAGAAAGAAAAAGTGAAGGAGGCCAAGTTGGAGGCAGAGGTGAAGATGTTGAAGAAAGAGAACGAGGCCCTCCGCAGGCACATTGCGGTACTACAGGCTGAGGTGTACGGAGCCAGACTGGCAGCCAAGTATCTGGACAAAGAGCTGGCTGGGAGGTAAGAGCATTATGTGGGATTCATGTGGCGATTTCTTCCATACAAAGAGCCAAGATTGGCACAGAGTTCTGGGAGTCAGTATAAACCTGAATGCGCTTTTCGTTGTATTCAGGGTGCAGCAGATCCAGTTGCTCGGGCGAGACATGAAAGGACCAGCTCATGACAAGCTGTGGAACCAGCTTGAAGCTGAGATTCACCTGCACCGCCACAAAACAGTGATCCGAGCCTGCAGGGGGCGCAATGATCCCAAAAAACCCTTGCTATCACCTGTGGGGCATGTAAGATAGCACATTCAGTTCATTTACTTGGTAAACGCTTGGTAAAACTGCATGCAGAAGGTGAACTAATATCCTTGAGATATATCAGAGTAAAATCTGACAAAACAAGCGAATGATGTGCCTTAAGGAAATTTCACCCCAAAGTCAAAATCAGAAGTTAAAAATGTAATTTCTTATAGCTGCTGTTTATTTATTGTCAACTAAAAGTAAAACCTAATTCATTACTTCAAATAAAAAACTAAATAAAACAAAACTTACAAAAATTAAAACATTTTATTTCAGCTAGATGCCGTCAACATTTTTTATTTTATTTTAGTTTACGAAGTACTAAAATAACTTAAAACAAAATTACAAAAACCTTAACTAAAGTTAAAATGAAAATATAAAATAATAATACAAAATATAGTAGTATATTAATGAAACTAAAATATATATATTTTTTTTAATAAGAAATAAAATTTTGCATTAAACAACTAACAGTTTAATTAAATTTAATCTTAAAAATTAAATGTTAAGCCCATTTTTTTCTGCACTGACATTTAAGAATCTTTAAAAATATATTTAAATGTCCATATTTACTTATTTATATATTTAAATTAAATATATTTTAGATATATTAAATATAAAATTAAGATTTGTTATATTTAAAAATTAATATTGACTTAAATATTAGTCTTTAAAATGATGTTGTTTTAATATACTTTAAATATATTAAATATATTATATAATGCCAGTCACAAGAATCAGATTTTTCCACAGTACAGCTGGCTACTATAAATATGAAAATAACTTAGACAATAAAAATAAAGACAATATAATAGTCTATGAAACAAGCTTAATTATTTATATGCACTATAAATAATTATATAAATAAATATAGTAGTTTGTTTGATTTTGTGGTGAACTATGACAATTTTCATGTGATTCACCCTTGATTATGTCCTCTCTACGTTTACCTCTGCAGGACACAGATTCTCTGAAAAAGACTCAGGGAGTCGGCCCTATACGTAAAGTGGTTTTGACCAAAGAAGATAATGAAGGCCTTGGCATCTCCATTACTGTGAGTTCAACCTTTGATTTTATATGCAGGCTAATTCATCTGGTTTCAGTGGATGAATCGCTGTATGTTCCAATATCAAAGTCCTGATTTGATGTTTGCATTGGAATTAATACAGGGCGGGAAAGAGCACGGCGTTCCCATCCTCATCTCTGAAATCCACCCCACCCAGCCTGCAGAGCGCTGCGGAGGACTGCATGTGGGAGATGCCATCTTAGCCGTCAACAACATCAACCTGAGAGATGCAAAGCACAAAGAGGCCGTCACCATCCTCTCACAGCAGGTGAGAGACATGCACGGTTCAGTTTGCAGCCCGGCGAGGGGGCTGTCAGATCAGGCTTAGCGTGTGACCTATAACTTATTATTAGAACCATGTTTCAATCCCATTCTAACACCTGCAGAGAACCTCCCAAAGGTTAAGATGCCCTTTAATTGGGTTAGTAGGGCTGCACGATTAATCACATTCGATTATGAACGCGATATTGCGTAGCTTGTCAGCGAACTACGGCTCTGTGTAGTAAATGCCGCTCCATTTGAAAAAAGGTGATGGACATTTACTACTAATCACAGAACCGGCTTTACTGACGAGACACGCGTGACAATCGCATGCGATTAATCGTGCAGCCCTACTTGTGAGGTGTAATGACTAACGGTTTGAAGAGAACATACCTGTTAATGGAATTGTTCACCCAAAAATTGTCATTTCCTCACCCTCATGTTGTTCCAAACCCATCTGACTTCTTTTCTGGTGAACACAACAGGTGGGCGCTCTTTTCAATTTCATAAAAGCAAATGAGGACTTGGTCTGTCAGGCTCAGAAATGACAAAATGCATCATAGATGAATCAGAAGTGGTTTATGTGACACATGCGCAAGTCTTCTGACGTCATATGATAGGGCTGTCAAAATGGCTGAAAAACTAAATTCGAATTTTGCACTTAAATATTATCAGTATTCGAATTATATTCGAATTTAAAAGGCATAATTTCAGTTAGGGGGAAACACGCTTTTGGTTTCAGTTTTGACGTAAACAAGATCTTCTCTGCACTGATGTTCTCGTTTTCCGCAAACCAAAATTTTTTACGCACACCTAAAATTCGATTTTTATTTTAAATTCAATGTATATTCGTAATTCGACTTTTTATTTGACCGCCCTATCATACGATAGCTCTGTGTGAGCAACCAAAGGTTATATTTACCTCGCATAACAAACAGGACTGACATTTATACACGCACCCACACTTCCAGACATTCACACAGTTTTTTTTTGTTGTTGTTCTGCAGAGGGGAGAAATTGAGTTTGAGGTGGTTTACGTGGCTCCAGAGGTGGACTCTGACGATGAGAACGTGGAGTATGAAGATGACAGCGGACACCGCTACCGTCTGTACCTGGACGAGCTGGAGGAGGGATCAGAAGCCAGTCACAATAATGGCACTGCCGACCCCGCTTCCCTACAAGGCAAGTGCACTGAATGAATTCATTTTCTTCCAATCAACAAACAGTTTTTACAGCATTTATTAATCTGTGTAAACTTATAAATATATTGTTGTTCATTCTTTATTTGTTGATAATATATTACTATTGCATTGTAATTGATTTAATAAATTTAGTTATTTATCTTTGATGCTAAGGCAGTAAATATGAATATGAATAAATAACATAATAAAAGTAATAAATATGAATAATCTATGCAAAGTTATAAATATGCCATTGTTCTATATCAGCTTATACTCTTGTTCATTGTCTATTCATGGTTGTTCATAACGCATTAATGTTGTATTGTAAGTTTTCATTAATTTTATTTTTTATTTTTGATGCAGGCAATAAGACATAAATATGAATGAATTGATAGATAATGTAATAAATAAAATATTGCTAAATAATGATATTAAAGTTGGTTTAAAACACAACTTGAAACATTAAAAATGTATTAGTAAAAAGTAATATTAACCCTATAGCATTAAAAAGGCTATAAACGTCTAAAACTTACATCAAATTATAATCTTAAAAATTCACACTACTGTTTAAAAGTTTGTTTTTGAAAGAAGTATCTTATGCTCAACAAGGCTGCATTTATTACAAAAATATAGTGAAACAGTAATATTGTTTTGAATATTTTAATAAAACCGTAATATTGTGAAATATTTGTATAATTCAATTTTTTTTTTTTTTCTATTTTAGTATGTCTCAAAATGTAATTTATTCCTGTGATGCAAAGCTGAATTTTCAGCATCATTACAGCATCATCATCACTTGATCCTTCAGAAATCATTCTAATATGCTGCTCAAGAAACATTAATGTTGAAAACAGCTGCACTGCTTAATATTTTTGTGGAAAATGTGATACATTTTTAGTATTCTTTGATGAATAGAAAGTTTAAAATAACAGCATTCATAAATATCTTTACTGTTACTTTTGATCAATTTAATAAAAGTATACATTTCTTTTAAAAACAAACAAACAAACTTACTGACCCAAAACTATGCACAGTACTGTCTGTAATGATATCATTATAGCCTATGCAGCCATTTAATCATAAAAGCCAAAGGCTAATGGTTTAAAGAAAATTGTGAAGTTTATCCAAACTGACTAACCGTTTTCTTTCTCCTTACAGCTGTAGGGAAGCACTTAGTGAACAACAGAACAGAGAATGGAGATGCTGCCTTGTCCAGTGAAAGTCCTTCAGACGACAAGACCTCCAAGACAGCAGAGTCTGCAGAGAGTTCCTCCTAGATCTCCAGACTTCCAGAAGGATCCTGGAGACGAGAAGAGAGAGGAGCATCAGGCGAAGAGATGGAGACCAGAAAGAGATTAAGACTGCACATGTATAATATGTAACATACCAGATTCTTCTTGTTTTATGCCGTTTGGAGAACAGACTGCTTCGACGTCCACTGGAGAAACACTGAGGGAAGAGGACATACTGTTACTCAGTGGCCACAAAGGATTGTTTGCATATGTACGTCACCATCACTTGAGGGGACAAAATGAATATTTACGTAGATGAGTAAAGGGATTGGATAAGAGTTTTGATTCTTGACTTCCTCTTTTGTGTAACCCTCTGTAGGTGAGCTGAAAATGAGCTCAAATGTAGGGCTTCTACTTGAATGATTCACACTTCTTCTCTTGTACTGAAGTAGATGGATATAGCAATGAGTTACTGTTTGCTCAAAATGTGTGCACATTGTTTTTAACTTCTCTGTTTTAGCTTAGTGTGATCCTGTCCTGCTCCAAAGCAAAGGCAAAGAGGATGATGCTACTTCCTGTTTTGCACACAGGATGGTCAGTAGGTGACGGGGACAGAAATGATACAGCGTGATTTACTAACAGTGCACATCCATGTGCTTTAATTTCTTTGCTTACAAGAACAGAAGTGGAGAGGTGCCATTTAGGTGATCTAGAATTAATTTTGGGGTGACTTTCATAGAAGAGCTATCCAGCTCATATTTTACCCTAAAGGCATATACAGTATCTCACAGAAGTGAGTACACCCCTCACATTTTTGTAAATATTTTATTATATCTTTTCATGTGACAGCACTAAAGAAATGACACTTGCGAGTAGCGAGTGTACAGCTTGTATAACAGTGTAAATTTGCTGTCCCCTCAAAATAACTCAACACACAGCCATTAATGTCTAAACCGCTGGCCACAAAAGTGAGTACACCCCTAAGTGAAAATGTCCAAATTGGGCCCAAAGTGTCAACATTTTGTGTGGCCACCATTATTTTCCAGCACTGCCTTAACCCTCTTGGGCATGGAGTTCACCAGAGCTTCACAGGTTGCCACTGGAGTCCTCTTCCAGATGTTAGAGACCTTGCACTCCTCCACCTTCCGTTTGAGGATGCCCCACAGATGCTCAACTGGGTTTAGGTCTGGAGACATGCTTGGCCAATCCATCACCATATATATATATATATATATATATATATATACACATATATATAAATATATATATACACACACACACACACACATATATACATTTTTTTTAACATTTCTGTGACATTATTTTTAAAATAATTAACCCCCCCCTCCCAAAATCTCATCATTGTAACGTTAATTTGTTTTGTATTTCAAATTAAGGATAAACATTACTCAAATGTACAATGACAACTCAGTTTTAAATATTTATTTAAACTAACAAATTTATACACACCCACACAATTTTATTTTAATTGGAATATTAAATACTGAAAAGTGAAATTTGTAAGGTTAGTGTGCTTATTTTTATTTCTCATGAAAATAATGGCACAATGCAAAATATTAACAATAATAATTAATGGTACTAAATAATTTTATGTATTTTAAAAATAATTAACCTATTTTTATTTGTATTTTCAGGACAATTACAAAAAATTCTTTAAAAAAAAATTAAACAATTTTTTTTTACACAAAATCCTCATTGCAGCATGCTATTTTATATTTAATTAAATTCATTACAAAAATATATGTTACTGGCAATTGAATAATAAATACAAATAAATAATATTTTTCATGACAATGATGTCACAATGTAAAATAAAAAAATAGTAATAATTATTGTTCCTAAAATTAAACACAATGATTTTTAAATTTAAATTTTTATTTTTAATTTAATTTATTTTAGGGTGAGATGTGACCCATACATTTCTTGACAGCTTTCATGATATCCACCCTTACATACCTGTCAAGGTATCTTTAAACATCTTTACTGAACAATGTCCATCTAGTGCCATTGAACCTACTGTATTAACAGTGTCTTTGGAAAAGATACTGATATTAGCTTGTTAGGGAAGTGAACTTGCATTTTTACACAGCAATGTAGCATAGCGTATTTAATCCAAGCCATTTTACTCTTTATATTCTGTGAAAAAAACACAAAAGTGAACAGAAATTTAGGATGAGGATTCTCAACAACTACCTTGCCCAATTCAGTCTCTGTAGAGTCGGCTGTAGTGCCTCAAAATCTGAATTGTAAGATCATTACTGTATTGATCACCAGAAGAGTTGCCTATAATCATCAGTGTTGCTTTACTACCATTGAGTTATTGAACATATCACTTTTCACTCAAACTGTTCTCTCACTAGCATTTTCAGAAAGGTGTTTATCACATTATTGCTATTTCATGCTCCAGTCTGAATGTCTGTACATTGATTACTCTATATTTAAATGAAACATTTGGGCTGGATAGCAATAAAACATTCCCTAAACAATTGCTTTACCCTGCTGAAAGAAAAACAGCTTGGTGGCTAGCGATTAGACTGGTTTAAGCAGGTTTTTCAGCAAGGAGGCATAGCCCTGTTGAAAAAACCAGCATGGTTTTGAAGCTGGGATGCTGGTTTGAGCTGGTCCTTTGCTGGTTTATGCTGGTCCTTAGCTGGTCATGTGCTGGTTTTAAGCTGGTCGGACCAGTTTAGGACCAGCTAAGAACCAGCTTAAACCAGCATCCCAGCTTCAAAACATACCTAACCAGCATATGCTGTTTTTTTCAACAGAGTGGTAAATATGAAATATTCATAAGTTATTTGCTTATATCACACTTTATCTGCTATTTAACACCCCACTGTAATTGTCACAGGTGTTTGTAGATGTTAGGCAGATGAGGGCAGTCGGGACAATCAGCTCCTTTGGCCGTAAAGTGAACTCTTATCAGTATATGGGCTGGTTCAGTGGACTGTTGTTTCTTATATTGTCTTGTTAGTGATTATTTCATCTAGGAGATGATTTGTGAGATGAAATGCTTCCCACACTGCCAGTGCATGGCACCGCACAGATGCAACTTTAACGTGGAGGAACAATTTTCCTTTTTATAGCCAATTAATTTTTTCCTTTTCCTTCTGGTTTGTGATTTATTCTTCTGTTAACCGTTTTTCCAGTGTCATAGGATTTGTCATAGGGAGATTGGGAATAAATGTTCCACCTGTAGTTATTGTATGACATGAAATGTTTCAATAAACTTAAATTGATTTGCCCAGAGCCTCGTGTTTTGTTGTGGTGTTGATAAAAAGGCTTTATTATAGTTTAACAGTCTGCAGTTGCAGTAACTAATTTAAACACGAGGTGGCAGTACGGCTTGACAGAACAAATACAAAACATACAGTATAAGCCTACTATGTGATAAGTCAAATTTACATGTGTAAGGCGTTTTAGTGTAAGAATAACTTTTATATTGTTGGTAATATTTCAAAATGAACACTTCCTAGACTGAGGCAACTTGGGTTTACTTGACAATCCTTACACTTTTTTTTTTTTTAGTATTAAACATCATTCGTCAGGTTTTTGAGGAACGTTTTTGTTAATCTCTCAATCATCGTTGCATTACATTGCATTAGATGTTTTGCCCCCACACTGATCATAAAAGCCTTTAAATAACATCTTACTAAACATAGCCTATTTCGGCCTCTGAATAAAATTAAGGTATTTTTCCTCCTCGATTTTAAGCTTCATCTTCTATCACACTAAATGTGCCATCAAAGCGTGATATATCAAATATGATACTTTAATAAACTGTTTCATTCTGACTATTAGCCTATTTAACACCAGGGTTTACACGGTTAAAACAATTCAAATCTCAGGAAGGTTTTTGTCTTCATGGAGACATATTATTTTTTTTATATATATATATTTTAATTCCAAGGATGTACAAATGGAAATCTGCTTTTGTTATCTCTAGAATATGATTAAATAAAATGCTATGTCCTGTCATCATCGCTGGAAAGTGTGCTTCCACCTGTCCATCCTGACTGAGAAAGTTAACGTTAACGTACCGTGCCATGTAACGCTATGGTTCCTCCACATATTGGCTTCAGTGAAGGTCTGGATGATAATACTACAAAAAAAGGTAGTTTAACGTTTAGTACACACTAAATTAAGCATATAAACCCTAAAAAATAATAGAAAGAATAGTTGCGGCAGAAGCGATGCCCTCATGAATATTAATTACGTAATGTGACGTACGTCGCCCAGTCAGCTTAACTCATTTGCTAAAAGGCAGACGATTGTAATGTAAGTTAACTTTTATTTATTAATTTTTATTTTAATATATGACTTGGCTCTTTATGAAGGTATTGAAAGCAACGTGTTAATATTCATAATCTAGCTGGATTCGTTATTTAACGCGCAGGTGTGAACAGGAACGGATCCTGGCGTGAACTAACAGCCCACACAAAGTTCGGCTTCACACAAAGACCTCCTACACACACTAAAACACAAAGCTGTTTCACGAACCTTTTAAGTTTATGACATTACCTTTTTCTTAATGTCTGACAACACATAACTCATTAAACACCATTATAAAATACTTAACATCAGCAGCTCATACAGATAAATTGTCTGTTAGTTATTTGTTACCAAACTTTGTCTGCATGCTTTACGTTTTACCATATTTTATACCCTAAAGATAGCCTATGGTAAATGCTATTCTTCCTTCCTGTATGATTGCATTTTTTGCACATATACCAGAATTGGATACACACGGACTCATAAACATTTGTGACCCTGGACCACAAAACCAATTATAAGGGTCAATTTTTTTTAAACTGGGATTTGTACATCATCTGAAAGCTGAATAAATAAGCTTTCCACTGATGTATGGTTTGTTAGGATAGGGCAATATTTGGCTGAGATACAGCTATTTGAAAATCTGGAATCTGAGGGTGCAAAAAAATCTAAATATTGAGAAAATTGCATTTAAAGTTGTCCAAATTAAGTTCTTAGCAATGCATATTACTAATCAAAAATTAAGTTTTGATATATTTACGGCAGGATATTTACAAAATATCTTCATGGAACATGATCTTTACTTAATATCCTAATGATTTTTGACATAAAAGAAAAATCGATAATTTTGACCCATGCAATGTATTGTTGGCTATTGCTACAAATACACCCCAGCGACTTAAGACTGGTTTTGTGCTCCAGGGTCACATTTGTGGCAGTCGGTCGGGCCAGAGATTCACTGCTGTGCTTTAATGTTGCATACTTTGGGTGGGAAATGTGATACAGGGCGCCTGAACGGTAGATTTAAACAGCAGGGTCACCATCAGCTGCTGCCCCATAACTAACACCCCACCGTTACATTCCTGATCACTGTCCCACAGAGACACCTCATGTGTGACATCCTGCTTTCACCAAATACTCCGTAATCATGCCGATTATTCACATTTTTTAAAGCAAAGCGACCATCACAGGACGGGTTGAACAGCTGGTGCTTTTAATCAGGGTTTAGACAAGCACAAACACAGCACTGAGATTCTCAGCGGCAAAGCACTTCAACACACCAGCATGACCAGATCCTCACGGGCATATCAAACATGAACCATCAGCACATCCCCCAAAACATTTCACAGAAATTAAGACCTGTCAGTAATCTTTAACAGGGATTGTCCCTTAAACAGCAGCAACTCACAGATCTTCTGGATGCTTAAAGGGATAATCCACGTAAAAACAAAAATACCTTCATCATTCACTCCAAATCAGTATGAAGTTATCTCTTCCGTGAAACACAAAGAAGAAATGTTGAAATTTCAAAAATTTTGAACATTTTTATTTTTTTTCCATTTTTGAGCTTGACAGCCTCTCATTTTCATACACAATTTATCATTTCGGTTACACTTTACTTGAAGGGGTGTGCATAAGACTGAC